GGAAAGACTTCTAAATAACTGAATGCAGAATTTCAAAATGCCACTCTAAGTCCCTGTTCTCCTTGAGATCCCACTGCAGTGCTCATCTCTGCTATGATGCCTCCTGAATCCTGGTGACTGGTTATGGATAGGCAGGGGAAGGGCTCGGTATTTTTCTTAGACCCATATGCTTAGGCTTGTCTGGTTTTCATATTATCTCCCTCCCTGCCCTCTTCCCCCACCCCAATAAAAAAAACAAAACAAATTCACTGCACCATATTTATTTTGTGTGTGTGTTTTATCTCTTTGGCCATTTTGTTTTTCTTTTAGATGACAAATCCACTACAATTTGGGATGATCTCTTACCAAAGCACACAACATACAGGCACAGTGGTTCTGATATATGGTGATGCCATAGTACAAATATTTACTAATCCTATATAAAGCAGGATTGAATGTACAGTGTCTGTATACATTCCAATATGTTAAATAAGAATCCCAAGGTCAGTCTGCTCTGCTAACTTTCTAAACTGAGTAGTTAGCTTCTGAAGAACTAAATGTTATAATAATCACTATGAAACGTTTTAATTATTGATCAGTTTTCCTTTCATTAGAATGGAAACTCCATTATCCAAAACCTTAAAGGCAAAGGTCACCAAATTCTTTCTGATAAACAGCCTTTCAAATGCACAGTCAGAACCTTTGGGTTTAGGAGTGTTTGTGCCTGAAGACTTTGAAAGTTCATAAGGATTTAAGGTGTTTAGCTTAAAAGATGGAAAAAATATATATTTACTAGTAGTCCAGGGAACACAAACCTGCAACAGTAATGAGCATTCCATTACAGACATTTCTTCTTTCCCAGCAGAAAGTACTGAAAGAAATTAGAAAAAATAATCTTCATATCTTCCTCCACTCCACCACAGAACTACTTTTACTGAAGCTATATGCAACAGTTGACAGAGTGAAAAAATAAAAGAATTGGACTGGAAATGTCCTTTTCACTCTTTTTTCTTTTTCTTTTTTTTCTTTTTATTTTTTTGTAGGCATTTTTTGAAATCTCCAAATTTTGATGGCTGGTTCAGGATCCGTCAGAAAGAAATGATGCAGAAGCTGGAGGCCCTTCAGTTAGAAGCTCTCTGTAATGAGGTTGGAAAACATGTCTTTGTTTTTGTCTTGTGTTTCAGAAATGGACTCCTGGCCTTTTCTGTGTCAAATGCAGTTATTACAAATTCTGAAGATGCTCTGTTAGATTCAGTTTTGTACAGTAGTTTATTAACTTCAAGAAGAGTTCATATTGGAACAACCATACAGAGAGCAATTGTATTATACTTGTATTGCAAAGTACTGGCTCACAAATTTGAGCAAAATTTCTCATTGTGTAGAAGACTGCCTTCTGTAACCTTCTGGGATGACTTTCACCATTTGTGCAGTCAATTTCCGTTTTATTTCTTTAATGTGTGTGTATTTTGAAGGCCATTTTGCACCTAACCCCATATTTTTTTAATTTTTAATATAATCTACTTAATTCAGTAGAACTCCGTTTTCTCCTCCCATTTGTTTAATTTAAGAAAAAAAAACCTTCAAGAACCAAATTGACTTTAAAATATCTCTAGTTTGTCTTGCTGAGCATGCATATAAATGTTTTAATGACAGGAGAAAATACCAGTTTATTATGGTGAAGATGCTGAATGAGTTTAAGAAAACTAAATCCTAAAATGAATCATTGTAGCCAAAAGTTCCAAAAAAGTTTTTGGATCCTTTTCTTGATTAAGAAACACCTATGGAAATGATTTTGGAATATGCCAAATTTGGTCAAAACAACTGGCTGACGTGGATAGCAACATCCTAAAAGTGAATGGAATTATAACATGTTTGGTGAGAACAGAAACAGAGAAATTAACATCATGGTTGACGACATCCATTGATCTAAAAGAACTATGAAAGAACTAGCCCCCCAATCCATGCAAGCATAATATAGGTTTCAGAACAACAGCTAGGTCTCATCTAGAATGGCACTGCTATCTTTTGACATAATTTTACTTTCAAGAAAATGATTTGCACCACAAAATCAGCACTGACTTCTTTCTCATTCTAAGGAGTGAAGAAAATGGACTAGAAGGGATTATAATGGGCATAATCAAAGGTTAAAACGTGCGTGTGCATACGTGAAATAGTACAGTGAATATTTTTTATTCCAATAGGATTTGCTTTTCTGGAGTCAGAAACACACAGAAGTAGAAACAGTAGATCTTGTCTTAAAGCTAAAGAATAAACTGGTAGGTAACCATTTTAAATATATCCAAAATAATTTATCTTCATGTTGTATAATATTTTATAGCCACATCAAACTGAAATGTTCTTCAGAATATAAAAGTAGCTCACTCAGTTTCCAGAAACAGTCCAGGTTATTAACTCAAATGTAATCCAATTCACCGCTAACTGTGAATTGACCATTTGAGCATTTGTGCAACAGGCAATGTTGATATTCTAATCCAGTGCTTTTCTGACATCCCAAAACCCAAGAACATGGGCATTTTATGAAAATTAACAAAGATTAGTAGTTCTGTCATGTTTTCATTTAAGCTGGTGACAGTTTTGTAAAAGTACCTGGAAACTATATTTCACTTTCTGATTCCTGGAAGTGTGTGAAATATATGCTGATTTAAGGAGAAGCTTGCACTTCTGCTGTCCGAAGTTCTACACTGGATGGAAGAAGGATTTCAGCTTCTATATCCATTGTTCTGTCTTCTCTGTGAACATTAAATTAACTTGCAGACTTCTAAACTAAGTGCAGTTGTTCAAAAAGCTTGAGGTGGAATCTACTTAAGTGATGCGGTTTTCTGTAAGCTGTATAGTTCACATCAGTAGTGAAAAGAACATACGTTTACCCTTGGGGGAGGAGGGGATCTTAGACTGGGATATGCCATGTTTAAACCAGTCTGTATGCACTGAACTTTTGTTCTTGTATGGGTATAGACTGGTTGCTGGTCACTTATACTGGTAAAAGTATAATGTCTGTACCGGGATTAATTGAAAACATTTTCATTTTTTTTATCTCCTGCAGTTACAGGCTGACAGAGAACACCTACCTGTGAAACCTGACACTTTGGAGAAACTACAGATGCACATTGACTCAATTATACTAGCACTCCCAGATGATTTACAGGACATCTTGCTTAAAACTGGCACAACATGACTTCTACTTGCATATTTCTGTAGCAGATTCACAACACATTTCAAAGCTTCATGGACATTGGCAGCTAACAGTTGAAATGCAGCTCCAAATAGTCTATTAACGTTAGCAATAACTGTACTAATAGCAGAAAACCATTTTTAGCTTCTTTTTAAAATAGAAACCTGCATGGGTTCCACTTAAATACTGATGGAACAGAAGGAATTTCTGTGTTAAATCATGTTAAAAAATCAAGTGCACTTATGAAATTATGAATTATGCAGGACCACAATGCAATGCTGGCATTGCAGAATATTTTTATTGGTGCTGCTGTGTTTAGTCACTTGAGCTCAGGGGAAAAGCAACAGTTGCTTTGGGTCTGTCAGGAGATTGTCCCATTAAGGTAATATCCCATTCTTCGCAGTGCCTTCTTTAGAAGTCGTATATCTGACATTAGAAACCCAACTGCTGTGTTTTTGATGTGGTTAGACACAGTACTTGAGATACATTGTTAATAGATCATTGCATACAAATCTGTTATGGCTTTAAAACCATTATTAATAGAAATGACTGAAAACATTTTAGTAGGGCATTAATCCTATTTTTATTCTTTTTTTTTTTTTTTTTTTTTAAGATTTGTATTACTTTTCAACTGTGTCCAGGGAAGAAGTCATCTGATGCTAAATAATTTCTGAGGAGAAGCTGGTATCTTTTTCCATTGAATGTCAGATAATATGGGTGCTTGTATTCACATGCCTTACTTACACTTAAATTTGAATTTAGCATTATCTTTATTATTGAACAATTTAATGACTTTAAAGCTGAGCTGCAAAAATTCAACATTAGATATGGTTTATTCATGATAACCTAATTAACTAGTGTTCCCTACAGAAAATATGCCTAGTAGTGCTGCTTTTTAAATAATTCAAGTGTAAGATTAGTGTTGCTCCTCTTGTATCCAATAACACTACTGAAATCTGTTACAAAATCCACTTCAGTTGGGGAGCGTGTTGGTAAATTCCTGGTATTCTTCTTTTTTAGCCATTTAAGTGGTTTTTTGAGAAGGAAGAAATACTGTTTTCAGCTTGTAGGCAGCCTCTGGATATATATGGCCTTTTCTGGATGCAGTTTGAGTACAGCAAACCTACTTAAAATGTATGTGCATACAGTAGACATCCATAAAAAGCCATTTTTATTACATATTAAGCAACAAGAAACTCTTGCTGTGAGATCTCCTTAAACAAGAAGCCTTGGTGGTAAAAGAGCTCAGTTACTAGAAGTGCAAAGTTGTACTTTGCCGACCCATTTGCAGCAGGATTAGTGGTGCTATAGTGAGCACACAGTTTTATGTGACAGGCAAATAGCAACTATCAAAATTCTACTTTGAAGTGTTCTGGGTAGAGCAAGAATAATTTTGTAACATTGCTATCCTACAAAATGCCTTTGTATAATAAATATTTCATACCATCTATAAACTTCTTATTTAGGTATAAAGTCATGTTTGTATTTTTAAGAAAATATGTATTTTAATATTTTTTCAGTTCATATAAAATTCATGGCCAGAAGTTTTGGTGGAACAAATTCTATCTAATCAATCATTTTAAATTATACCACTATGACAGTAATCTCTGACTTGCATTTCATTTTGCACAGCTAACTAATAACATTTTCTAATCTCTGACTTGCATTTCATTTTGCACAGCTAATTTATAACATTTTCTACCCCTGAGACTAAAATGTAGCCATTAATACATTATATTACCTTCTGAATATTTAACTGAAGCACTGCACAGTATCTTGAAACCATGTAAATTTGCACCAGCTATGTTAACCTATTGCCACTTGACTGCAAATACATATTTTTGTAAAGGAAATAAATTTCATTTTTGTAATGTTTTGTTTCCATTATTTATTCCACAAATCATCGCCGAGTTTCTTATTCTTATTTTCCTCTTGGCCAGATTCCTCCTCATCTGTCTTACTACGGCAGAGATGGTAGTAGGCTGCAGCCCCTCAGCAGCACCTGCCATTAGACCCGGGTTGGAGGAATACAAAAGGAGCACAGGGGGGGGAAGATGATGGAAGCAGAGAGTGGAAGAACAATGAAAAAGAGGAAAGCTTTGGAAGAGAAGAATAAGGACCTCATAAGAAAAGAAAGAGGAAATGAGGCTAAAAACTTCGGCCTACTTTCTTCCCTCTGAAAATTGCCTAGCAGAACTGCAGAGAGAGCTTGCTTAGGTCTTCCTTCAGGCCAACAAATACAGACTGCTTTGACAGATTTGGAATTATTCCACAATTAAACTATGAATGCAAAACATTGGCCTTGCTCTTTGGATGTAAACTTTTTATTAATATTGATTTATCTGAATTAGGTAGTTGTCTGGAAAAACAGGCAGGAATGAAAGGAATGGCTAAAATTAACCCCCTTTCAGCACTTAAGAGTACTAAGGGACACTGACGGAGCTATCTGTTTTTGACTCCCATCTCCAGCCAACCTAAACTAGCTTAATTTAACTAGGACAGAAGAAAGCCATGAACACAGAAGAACCAGAGAACTTTTGTAAGATTAAAAAAGGGCACTCTCTGAAGAGTGCAGCAGTTATTTGCGGGGAATGAGTCTGAGACATGGGACCCTCCCAAGCCCACATGGGTTTACCCGCATAGGATGGGAAGGCTGTAGGCAAGATAGATATGCCTAGACAGTGATTTTTAAAATCCCTACTCCAGAAGCCTTGTTTTGTTTGTTGAGATAAACAATACTAGTTTTAGAAAGTATTTTCCATCACCATATCCACCAAACCTTTGAAAGGGAGAACGAACCTCAAGTGGCTGAACTCAGTAGGACCTGTTAGGTAGTAACAGGTGATTCTCAGGGGCATTATAGGCCCTGGTTCAACTGGAGAGTGGAAAAATTACAAAACGCCACCACCAATGTGGATAAAAAGAAAAGATCGCACCACCTGAGGGTGAACAGATGGACTAGAAAGAAGACAGGAGAATGGTAGGATGTAAGTAATGGTGGTTAACTGCTCTGGTGATCAGCTTTGAGTCCCCGATTTGTTGATTTTCATATCCACTCAAAACACATCCAAGATGGCTTTGAACATGATGTAAAGGTGAAACTATGTTAATAGTGTTCCCCATATATAGTACATGCCACAAATTAGCCCCTTGCTCTCCCCAAGTGCTGCTCCAATTCCCTTCCTCTCTGCCTGATCTCCTCTGTTTTCTGCTCCCTAGTCTGTGCATGGTCTCCTCCTTTGCCTTGTGCTTCCTGCACTATTGCCTGTTATGCTGCCTTTCCCTGCCCTATCTACAATGTGCCCAACACAAGCTGTTTGCGTCACTTGGCATTTGTGCCACAGGTAGGCCATCCTGGTATGTGCCATTTAAACTTTCCCAGATTTAGTCAAAGCATAAACAATCTCTACAGCTCAAAATTGAGTACCATGAGGAGAAGATGAGTATGTACTGAAACTCCAGACCTGTGCACCATTAATCTTGGGTGAAATAAGTGCACTGCTACTTTTAAACCACACTGACAACAGGAATAAACTGAAGTAACTGGTTTCTTTTTTTTTTTTTTTTACTCAAACTTTTCAGTTCCAACTTGAAAGTATTTTGTTAGCTGAAAGGTGGCCCTTTTGTTTAAAATAAACATGGTTTTTATTGTGGGTTGGACTAGATCATCCTTGAGGTCCTATCCAACACCAAGCCTCTGATTTTTCATAATTTAAATTTGTAAACTAACTCATGTCTCCCATTGATGCCACTGTTGCCATGGTATAATGGAGGCTATCCTTAGTTGGGCAATATTTTTATTAAGTTGCAAGTTGATTTCTTCATACTGAAATTATTTTAAAATAAATAGTATTCATTCTGTAACCTGGTATTTTTCTTTAAAAGCACAGTAAAAATTCCTCATTCAAGGGCAAAACATAACAGTGCAGGATGATTATACGTAGTAGTCCCTGCTGGCAAACTATATCTACTGAAGTTGCAAATTAGGGGAGCCTCTAATTTGTAAATGTGGTTCTTGGATTTTTTTTTTTAATTCTACCTTTAATTCTACCTTTATGCCACAGGGTGGCTACAAACAGTTTGAATCAGGGTTTCATCCTAAATGATTTTAATGCTTAATGTTTATAAAGACATGATTTATGTACATAAGATAATTCTTTCATCTTCAGTAAGCACTACCCAGCTTCAATATGAGGTTTGTCTCTCTCTGACCCCTCTGGTAGCAGGGCAGTGACACAGATAAACAATCTGCTTCTTAATTATACTCAAGATTTGACCCAGCTCCTCTCTCAGTCAATGGAAATATTTTTATTTAGACATCTTTGGGAGTAATCACATCGCTGGCCCGTAAACTAATTTGTTGTCCTTTGATACATTGATGCATATATGTGATACATTTAGGGGAAAAAATGCTTGTGCAAAAATAATTACAAAGGATTTCACTGGAACCTTAACTTTCATGCACACTGGTTAAGATAATACTGAAAAATATGAAGCTGCAAGTGATTTGAGCTCACTCCCTTACTACATTGGGTAAGCACTGAAATCCCTGAGTGTTTGAAGTCTGTGTGTCTTTTTAGCACAGGCTTAGATAAAGCGAGACACAGATGCACATTTTTTTTTAAACAGGACATGATGGGATCTGTAGACACAGCACCTACTATGACGTAGATGAACATCTAAGGAGACAAATATTTTTTTTTTTTCTTTCCAGAATATTTTTAAATGGGAACATATATAGAATAAGTTTATGGGCAAATTAAAGAGACTGAGAAGATATCAAAGAAATGGATAAGATCCAAAGAGAGTATGAGGTATGGTTCTGAGAAACTGGATAAGTTGAGTTCTACATAGTTTGCTGTACAACTTTGGCAAAAGACCTTTGATAAACATAGGTCCTGTCTGTTCAGCATAGACATGAAAAATCCCATGATCTTTTTCATAAGATGATATATATCTCAGGAAAATAGTCTCTGTTTACAAACATTACCTAACATGTTCTGAAACACTTGGCAGCAGTGTAAGCAGGATTTTAAATTGTTCTTTTGTCTTTTGTTGACCATAGATTCCTCACAGGATCAGTTGATCATTTAAATACTAAATGTATAATATACTGCTCTAACTTTCATTCTCACTGCTCTAGGATTTTATATAAGTCTGTATAACTACTTATAGGAGCTGTTATAAGAAAGGTGGAACAGTGAGAGCTGGCTATTCAATGAGGGTTTTTAGTAGCAAAGAATTGTGTTCTGTTCTTGATGAACAGAAGGAAGCTGGCACCTTCAGGCACTGAGAACAGGTGCAGATTTTTTTGCAGCAGCACAAATTACTTTCTATTTAAGAGGAATAGGAATTTCCTATATTGTACCCCAGGAAAACATAAGGTAACTCTGTTCTATCATATCAGTAAACTGACAATGGAGTTTTTCTTTGCAACTAAAAAGATTCTGGAGCAAATTCAAAACAGAGCACAGTTCAGGAACAAGTTCCTACATAATTGTTCATGGGCCCTGGGCCAAAGAAACACTTTTAACTTTGGTTGCAACAGGTGACCTGTGGTGTTGTTATGTCATTTGCTGAACTTCTTTAGCTACCTGCAGTTAGATGGATGTGCAAGAAATCCTCATGTTTAAGTGGCAGAGAGGAAAATTTGGGTTTAGCTTCATTATATTGTCAGAGGTAGGGGAGAAAGGTTGGAAACAGAAGAGTTACTTTACAAAAAAATTTGGAACACTTTTAAGAATCGTTCCTTATAACTTTTAAAAGGGCCAAAGCTAGAAGCTGTATGTGGGGCTTAGTAAGGAGTTGGTGCTTTCCCCATTCATTGCTGGGTGGCTTGCATCACTTGCCCCTCTGGACTTTCCCTGTTTCTTTAGGAAGGTGAGTAATGGCTGGAAAGGAGAAGACTCAAAGGGCATATCCAGACGTGTATGGATGTTTGGTTCCCTGAGAACAATTAGCAATGGTGCACACCTTGCACCACAGCTACTTGTCCCTGGTGAACACCCGTGCCACGCGTGCTTTGGTATGCAGCAAGTTAGCCCTGGGGTAGTAGGGGAAACCCCAGCAGCCTTACCTGGGGTTTTGGGGGCCTCTCAGGGCTGCAGCTGCAGCAATTCTGCCAGGCGGACCCTGGTTTTCAGCTGCAGTGCGGCTCTGGGCGGCCCAGCTCCGCTTTTCAGCAGCATGCGCTACTCAAGTGTGCACTACTGTTTTGTGGTTTGGTTCCCCACCCCAGTTTTTTTGTTTTGGTTTGGTTTTTTTGACCCCTGGATATCTAGGGGTCCAAAAAATCTGTAGGGGGAAAAAAACCAGAGCAACGTATGCTCGGTCAGCGCCCCCTTGCAGCACAGAGAACACTGGGCTGTGCAGTATGTGGTGCTGCAAACATGTTTGTGGCTCTACGTACCGCATGACTGCACTCATCTGGATGTGCCCAAAGGGAGCCAATGGAACAAGTGCAAACAGGACAGGAGAAGTGACTGGGGGTTTCTAAAGTAAGCTGGTGTGGAGATGAGGAAATGAGATGCATGTTATTGTCCTGCCTTGTCATTTTGAAAAGCCTGGTAGCCTTGAAAAGGTGACTCAAGAGAAGACTTGTTGTCTAAGTTTTGGACACCCCCCCCCCTACAGGAACAATGTGGACAAAGGGAGAGAGTCTATTACAGGGCAATGGAAATAGTTTAGGGGTTGGGACACAGGAGGTGAGGAGAGGATGAGGGACCTGAGCTTATTTCATTTAGAAAAGAAAAGACCAAGAGCCATTTAACAGCAGCCTTCAACTACCTGATGTGGGGGGGATTCAAAAAAGGATTGAGCTGGCCTGCTTTCAGTGGGGGCAGATGACAGAAGCAGCAGCAACGGTCTCAAGTTGCAGCAAGAGGTTTAGGGTGGGTATTTGGAAGACTTTTCTCACTAGGAGGATAGTAAAACACTGGCACAGGCTCTGCAGAGCGGTGGTGGACTCTCCATCCTTGGAGGTATTTGAGATCTGCGTAGACAAAGCCCTGGGCAGGAAGATGTAGTTGGGGCTGGTCCTGCTGAGTTGGGCTAGATGTGGCCGCCGGAGGCCCCGTCCCCCCCGCATGTTCTATGGTTCTAACAGAGGAAGGTACACGTGTGGGGCAGGGGCAAGGAAACGAAACCGAGCGGGGGCAGGAGAGGGGCCAGGGCCGGGCGGGGAGCGGGAGAGGAGGTCTGCGCCGCGCAGCGGGGGCGGGAGAAACGCTGAAGGCAGCAGGGAGACACCTGAGCAACGTGGAGTCAGCCGGAAGGGCGGGTAGGGATATGCGGAGCGGGCAAAGGTAGCGCAGGGAGAGGTCGGCCCTTGCTCCGCCGGCCCTTGAGGCCGCGGCTCGGCCCCGCCTTCCGACGCAGAGGCGCCGCGGGCCCGGCCGCGAGGACTACATCCCCCAGCGCGCGGCGCGGCAAGGAAGGGGGCGGGACTACAGCTCCCGGCATGCCTCACTCCCGGCTGGCGGGCCCCGGACAACGTCTCCCATCATGCCTCGCGCTGGCGGCGCTGGGCGCCGAGG